TTTTTATAAAATGGAAATTTGTTTTATAAAATGTAAATTTGTCTCAAGCTTTGTTAAAGTGTTTCACACTTTGTAATTGTCGATTGCACCTCTCAGCCAAAAGAGACGTGGCACTAGCATGCCGTCCCTGGTTAAGCTACTGGCGGAGCACAGATACGCCCTTTCCAATGAATGTAAGTCGGCTATAACTTCTCTGGAAGCGATATTAGACTTTGTCCAGGCAACAGTCACAGACCATGGTCACCTCCTGACCTCCCTCGAGTGCGAATCAGCGAGAAAATTGAAGAGTTGGAGGACGCCTGGATTCCACCGGGTCCGTCTGCGCGGCACTTCGCAAAAAATACGCGGCTGGTCTATTTTTGACGGAGACACGAGGCGTTGCGTAGCGCCGGGCAGGAAGTGGAACGGTCAGAGCATCCGGTCCAACCCCAAAATAAACTAATTTTGCAGAACCCCCCATCCCCCCGTAGTCTTTTAAGTAGGAGAAGAAATGTCATTGTTCTCCTCCGGTTTACAGGCACTGTGTGTAAATTATATATAGAATAATTATGATGATGAATGCATTTTTTTACTGGATAAACGTATGTAATAAGCACTTCAATCCTTGGACTTGTGGACTCTCATGTGTGTCTTCAGATTTCTCGTATACAAATGTTTTCTCACAAACATCACAACCAAATGGTTTCCCTCCTGTGTGGCCCTTCATGTGTACAGTAGGCCTACATTTACCCAGTAGCTACAGAACTTTAAGTGACAGTTCGGAGAGTTGTGAGTGGGGTTGTAAGAGGAACGTATCTATAGTGAGTGTATTACAGACAGCATGTATACGTTTAAGTAAGGATGAGCAAGTACATCTTTATCTGTTATCTGCTTCTATTCAACTCACTAAATTACATGTATTGTATAACTCCCCGAAATGGGTGTGGCTTAACTTAATATTTGAAGACTGAAAATGTCAGGTAGAAATTGCTATTATTATTTATTAAAAACTCTTTGTTATAAACAGCATACAATGAAAGAGAGAAATAAAGACACAGAGTTTGTGCAAATCCTAGTATATATGTATATATGCATATACATATATACTCAGTAAAATTGGTCTAGAACCGCGACTGCACCAAATATGATCACATCACCCCCATCCTTAAATCACTACACTGGCTCCCCATGGAACTGAGGATCGAATTCAAGGTCTCCATCCTCACCCACCAGTGTATCCATGGAACTGCCCCTCCCTACCTCAAGGAACTCCTCACCACCCTTACCTCCTTGCGGACCACCCGCTCCAGCAACTCCAACTTCCTCAAACCCCCCAGGACTAAGCTCCGTACTGCAGTGCTGGAATTGGGCCGGTACTCACCGGTACGCAGTACCGGCACTTCTGGTTCTGACCCATGGAGTACCGGCACTTCTTGCTCAGTACCGGCATGCTGGCGGTACTCCGGTACTCATGCACCGTGCGTACATCCATATATATATATACAGCCGCCCGGTACTCAGTAGATGCGTCATGAGGTGCCGAACGGACATTCTCATCGCTCTAACCGCTGGAGTTTCACAGCGGCTGTCAGCTGTTTACTCCTGTCATTCAAACAGAACGTGCTGGAGAGGGGGCGGGGCTTATCTTCTCCATGTAAATACTGTGGTGGAAACGACTATGTCAAAATTAACCTATTTGACCGTGATTTAATAGTAATACACGTTTCAAAATAATAATAATAATAATGCCGAAGTAACAACATACTGAAAACTGTTAGTAAAACCATGTTTTAATGCTTTACAATTTACATACCTAGATGCACGTGTGTTGTGTTTATGCAGTGCAACTCCCACCCAGTGGGTGGCTATGTAGAGTGATAGAACAGAGCAGGCACGCCCCAGAAAGAAGGAAAGCAAGTCACGTCACAAATTAGCATTTCTAAAATGTTAGCGTGGATTAATAAAAGTGCAAAAAGACAGCGGTTGTCGCCGGAAGAAACTTCAAATACAGAGAATGCTGTGCCTGTGTTGGAAATTGTGTCTGATGGGGAGCTTTCTTTGGTTGATCCTCCTGCTCCAAGTTCTAGTGCATTAGCATTAGCACTAGCTCCGCCGCCTCCTCCAGAGCCTCTAACGTTAGCTGCTGCTGGCGCAACTGCCACCACCAACACCGGGCAAAGCGATGCACCTGATTGCTGGACAACGGACCAGGTGCAATATGTTTGCAAGACCAATGCATGGCTCCTTCTTAAAGATAAGAAGCTAGGATGTCGGATATGCAGAGATGTCAAATCTTTGGGAATACACACTGGACTCAATCATTTCCAGATCTTTTTTGACAAACTCTATTCCTTGTTCCATGCCTCCCCCAAAAATCAGAGGCCGTTAGCGCAGTGTGCGCAAGCAGTCGGACAGCGTCTCCTGGTGATAGGGCGTGTTTTGTCCATCCGCTGGGTGGCTTCAAGTGAAAGGAGCGTCAGAGCAGTCTGGGAAAACTACCGAGTGCTTCATGATCACTTCACAAATGCTGCAAACGACACGAGCAGGGATTCCAGAGACAGAGCAAAGTACAAGGGCCTGGATGATGTGCTCACATCTGCAACGTTTGTCAGCAATCTGGGACTGATGTACGATGCGCTCACAGAGCTCAGCGACCTCTCTCGGCAACTCCAAAAAAGAGAGATGACACTGCCTACAGCAGATAGGCTCTTAACTCGAGAAATACGAGTTTTTGAATCCATGGTCACCATGCCTGGCCCACACATGACTACAGTTCATACAGCTCTAGCTGAGAAGTCCTTCAAGGGTGTTGCCCTGCGTGAGAATGGCAGGCTTGTACAGATTCATGCAGGTCAGTTTTTCCGCAGTATGGTAGAGAATCTGAGACACAGAATGACTTCCACAACATCCTCTCATGTCAGCACAAGAGAAATCCCATTACATGGCCGGGAGGCCCGGGACAATCAGCTAATCCAGGACATGAAAGTTATCCATCCTGGAAGTTGGCCTGAAGAGGAGTTAGACGTACAGTATGGGGACGTAGAGGTGCTACGTTTGTGCGAAGTGCTGAAAGTGGACAGAAGAGAGACTGTTCAGGGCTTTCGCGAATACAAGGAAACCAGGGCATCCCGTACACCTGCTGCCATGGAGCCTCTACTGAAAGCAGTCCGAACCATCGCTGTCTCCACTAGTGAGTGTGAGCGGGCATTCAGCTGCATGAACGATATCCTTACTGCAAAAAGGAATGCTCTCTCTGTCAGCCGACTGTCCAGCCTGGTTTTCATTAAATGTAATGGACCATCACTAGGACAGTTCAATCCGGAACAGTATGTGAGGTCCTGGCTGGCAAAGGGAAGGAGAAGTGCTGATGAAAGAGCCTGTCCAGCTCCAGCCCCTGATACTGATGTCCCCAAGGCCTTCTGGAGCCTTTTCTAACAATGTGAAGTATATTGCAAAGCAGCTCACCCAGTGAGAAGACTTTTGGCATAATGTGCCGATTTGTACAGATCCTGGAGATAGAAGGACTTCAGACCAACCAGGGAGTTATCTGATCAGCTTGGTGTTCAATGTAACTCTTTACCATGGCTCAGACTTTGTTACTTGCAGTTACAGTTTCTCATTTTAGATTGTGCAAATGTTGCATTTGTTTTTACATGTTCTTTGTTCATGCTCTTTATCATTTTTCTGAGTTGGAAAGTTAGATTGCATCATAGTTTACTTTATACATATTTGTATTCTTCAGTGGTGAAGTATATTGCAAAGCAGCTCAGCCATGTGAGAAGACTTTTGGCACTTTTTCGTTTTTCGTTTTCTGAGTTGGAAAGTTAGATTGCATTCAAAATGTACAGAAATACTTAATTTTGTTAAAGCTTTTTATAAAAAATGCTTCTGACCAGAGCTTTGTTTCCTTGTCATTAATGTTGAACACCACCAGAGGGGCTCTCACCTGAAAGGTCTCTGCTTCATGTGTCTTCAGCAGAAGATCTAGACTTTGATTGCTATATTTTCAGTTAATATTGACCTTACTGAGCTTTAGCCATATCCGCTGCCTATCATAAAAAATGTTAAGTACAGTGAACCTTTCTAAAATATACAGTAGTAAAGAGACAAACCCACCAGCATTATAGTAGCCAAATTCTTGTTTGTGGGCTGTATATATAAAATTGACTTGAAAAAGTTGCTGATTTTAGAGTACTGGCACCTTTTTCATTCCAATTCAAGCACTGACTATGGGAGACCGGGCCTTCTGCTCGGCTGCTCCCAGACTGTGGAACGCTCTCCCTGACCCATAGCCCTGACCACATGAGAGCGCCACAGACCGTGGAGGCTTTTAAAAAAGGCCTCAAAACCCATCTATTCATTAGAGCCTTTGCCTAGACCTTTTATTTATTACCACCCTTTTATTTTATTTTTATTGTTTTGTTTTTTATTGCTTTTTATTAATTCTACCGTGTTGTGTAATGTTTGTATACTGTTCATGCTCACTGCTTGTAGCACTTTGGGATTTGAAGTCAATATGAAGTGCTTTATAAATGAAACCCATTATTATTATTATTATTATTATTATTATTATTATTATTATTATTAACGGCTGGAACTGCAACAGCAACGTAATTTAAAATGACCAAACCACTGATCAATGTTTACTGTAAGTCTGGTCACAGTTTATTTTCCATAAACCAGTCTTTAAACACTGAGAGCCCATGCCATGTGTCTGTTAGTGTTTACTTGTTTACTTCCTGTCTGTCTTCTTCTGTGGATTTCTCTCACGTCCAACGCTCTGTCTTTTAAACTCTTTCCTTCTCTCGCTTGATCTTCCTTAGCAACGGTCTTTATTTTGCTTAGCCGCGGTGTATTATGGAGTATTATTAACATCCTCTGAAATGTCCAAATTGACCAATCAGAATCGAGTATTCAAGTTAGCCGTGTAATAAAAACCTATATATTGAGAACCTTTAGATGTTTTACTGTTATTTATTTCCTGCCAATTGTTTTATGAGATAAAAAAGTGTATTCGCTGGTCAGCCGGGCATGCTGCTCTGTTTGCCGTACAGGTCGTACTCCCGGTACAGGATGTAGTCCTTCAGGTGCTCCGGCACCGGCAGGAAGCTCATGAAGACCAGCGACCCTGGAGGCGAAGGCGCCCGAGACAACTACGCACCTGCAGCCGGCAGAGGTGCTGCAGACAGCGGGCGCTTTCTGGAGAGGAAGAGGAGTAGAAGGAGAGCATTGAGAAATATTAATGAAGATTGTTTTATTCTTGTTTGCAGGGAGTAATGACGTTTTAGTCAGTCAAATATGGTGTTTGCCAAACAGGTTTTCACATACAAGGACTGCTTTTGTGTAATACATATAAATATGAAATATATATTGAAAATAAATATTACTACAATTATTCTAAAATGAAATAATAGAAAATATAAATGGAAAAGGAAATAAATATTGATAAAGCAGAAACAAAGCAAGTTGTGTACAGGAAATAAATAAATATTGAAAAAATGAACACAAAAAAAGAGCAATTATTGAAAAAAATTATAAATATTATTTATTTTTATAAAAATGATTATAAAATAAAAATAATCTGTACAGGTAACAAACATTGGGTGTATTGGTGCGTATACATAGACAGTTAACCTGTTAAGCCCTGAACCTGTTTTTCAGGTCTCAGGCTCGAAAATGACATTCCCAGAACAAATGACTATATCTTCACTTCTAAAAGGGGTTAATTAATAATCTTTTTTCTCAAAGCAAGGTTACACCTGTGAGTTGGATGTAGAAAAGTCAGAATCAATATAGATGTTTTTATTTTTAAAGTAAATTCAGATTGAACATAGTAAGAACATGTAAATTAGTGTCTGTCCAAAAAAAAAACATTACTTATAGTGAAAACCACCCTTGAATGATGGGATAGTACTAAAAGTTTTAGGAATCCAAACTATAACATATAATAAGTACCCTGTATCAAGATTGATGCAAAACAAGTGATATTTGACCTTTTTAGAGAGAGGGGTCATTTGGGTGTATTTGCCATATCTCTGGCCCCCCTCGGTCGATTTTGATGATTGACACCTCTTTTTAACCGTTAGAGCCAAAATCCTAAATCCATCTAAACATTACCATTGAGGAGTGAGAGTGATGCACACGCAGTTTGCCCAAACTGAAAGCTACGTTACACTCTGAAAACTGAAAACTAGGGTTATTGCCATAAATGTTATGATGGATTATCAGTAATCATTTCAAAGTGACACAGAGACATTGGATTAACCTTCAGCAGCGTTTTTATCGTTTTAATGCCATTGAACACAACTCAAGACGTATTTGCCATTTTGGCCCTGTAAAGCTAAGTTATGTGTTGTCTGGTTTCACCTTCGCTGCCCTGAGTTTCGGTCGCACAGTGATGATACTTACAGAATCAGTGGAATCCCAGCTTTAATCTGATATCTTGTTTGTGCAGATCTGATAAGTAATAAAATATTTCTACCGTGAGTTCTGTGCTAATTCAGAGGCTTGGTATTACCCTTGTGTTTCGTAAATGGTTCATATCGTTAGTTAGCTGAGATTCTTCCCGTTAAGTGGGTATGACACATTAATAGATTGTTAAATGTTAAGAAGCCCTGAGACACAGCTTTGTGAATAAAAAGCCTGTAGCCGCTTAACAGGTTAAAGAGCTGTGTTTAGGTGCCTAACAAGCACCAGGGGAGCTATGTGAGGATGCTCTTTGTTGATTACAGCTCTGCCTTTAATACAGTCATCCCGGGAAGATTGGTTTCCAAGCTATCTGACCTAGGATTCTCCCCAAACATCTGCCAATGGATTAAGGACTTCCTAACTAACCGCCCCCATACAGTGAGAATAGGCCCTCACCTCTCCTCCACCCTCACACTCAGCACCGGTTCACCACAAGGCTGTGTGCTGAGCCCCATGCTCTACTCCCTGTACACCTATGACTGTGCCCCCACTCACCCCACCAACACCATCGTCAAGTTCGCGGACGACACAACCGTGGTTGGACTGATCACAAGAGGAGATGAGTCAGCCCACAGGGATGAAATCCAGAGACTGGCAGTGTGGTGTTCAGATAATAACCTTGTTCTGAACTCCATAAAAACAAAATAACTCATTATAGACTTCAGGAAAAACAGCACAACACCAGATCCACTGTACATCAATGGCAACTGTGTGGAAAGGGTTCCTGCCTTCAGGTTCCTCGGCACACACATTTCTGAAGATCTATCCTGGTCTATCAACACCACAACATCTGTGAAAAAGGTCCAGCAGCGACTCCACTTCCTGAGGATCCTCAGGAAAAACAACCTGGAGGAGAAGCTCCTGGTGTCTTTCTACCGCTGCTCCATAGAGAGTGTGCTGGCATATTGCCTAACCACGTGGTGTGCCAGCTGCTCAGAAAAGGACAGGAAAGCCCTTCAGAGGGTCATCAACACAGCCCAGAAGGCTGCTCACTGCCTTCTCTGGAGGAACTCTTCAGCCAACGTTGCCTCAACAGAGCAGGCAAAATAATTGCAGACTCTTCACACCCTGGACACTTCCTGTTTGCTCTTCTGCCCTCCGGTAGACGCTACAGGTCAATTCAATCAAGGACAAACCGACTGAAAAACAGTTTCTACCCCAGAGCCATACGAGAACTGAACACTGTCAAACACTGAACTAGCACACACACAGTTACAACTTGCAACTGCACTACTTTTTAATAGTTTTATTAATTTATTAACTGATCGACATCAGAGATGCCAAATATCATCCCTGTATTTTTATATTGTAAACTGTATTTAAATAATGTGCGGGCATGTATGCATGTTGGTATGGATGTGTGAGCATATGTTTATGTGTGTATATGTTTATATAGATATATTTATTCGTTTTATGTGGAAATGCACTGCGAGGATTGCTTTTTTAAATTTCGTTGTACCTGGTGCGATGACAATAAAGGAATTCTATTCTATTCTATTCTATTATTATTATTCAGCCTCTTTGTAAACGTGCACCTGATTTACCTTTGTGCACCTATTTATTTCCCAAATGGTGTTTTGTGGATGATATTTTGAAGTTATTTTAAGCAATGTGCTGTAATAAATGGGTGTTGATTTTGTTGTTGATATTCCTTTGTGCTCTGTGCGAAGCAAATTCACTTAGGGACAGTATTTGAATTTACCTTGCAGCCTGCAGATGTCCGGCCACTGCTGCTGCTCCATCACTGCTGCCTTCAGCTTGGAGCACAAGGTCACATGATCCAGGTAATCCAACAGGACGAGCACCACCTGACCTGAGAGGTGCTTCAGCCAGGAGACGGTGATCACCTCGCAGAACTGAAACAAGAAGAGTTTTACACGTCGGTTTACGCCTGAATGATCTTCAGCCACTTTAGACGATCCTTTACACTTTAGAAAGGAAATCAGATTGAAAGAGTAGACAGACAGATCCAGTATGCAACTTAAAGTTGGTGTAGGCAGGATATTTTTCTCTTATGGTTTTCTTTTTAAAGTTTTCATCTTTCTAAACTCTCGATGGTCAAGATTAGATTGGCATCCCAATCTGTATTTAATCTGTATCTATTCTCTGTACTAGGGAATTTTGGGTTGATTTTAAAGATTTAGGGGCCTCTCGATCATTTTGGTTGGAAAGTTTGCCTATTTATTTTAGACAAAAATTGTTCACAGTAGAGATAATAATGTTCATCCTGTGCTCTCTGTATCCAATGGTTGCAACACTAATCATAGTAGTCACAATCAGCCCACGGAGAATACCTTCTGGTTAATATTGCCATTTTTTATCCTGAAAATGTCCTAAATAGATTAAGCATTCTCAATAGCCCTCAAAATCACTCCTAAATTGTCCAAATCAGCCAAGTAATTTTTCAACTATTGTTTACTTGGCTATAATGCCATTCATTTGAATTAACACAATTATGCTAATTGTGCAAATTGCCACATTTATGTAAATTAGAATCCGGAAGCAGAAGCCCTGGTAAAATGGCAAGGTCCATGACAAGCTGAAAGCACAGAGGTGGAGATGTGGAAGAGTTTAGGAAGTCAATGTAAGTGCTCCGGAGAGCTTTTAACGGTGCAAAGAGACACTACAAAGAGAAAGAAGAGTCTGACTTCAGAGGCTCTGACGCCCAGAACATGTTGGCGGGACTAATGACAATAACCAGAGATTGATGCTTTTAACTTCAATATTTAAAAACAAATCTTCCCGGAGGAGCATCCCCCCGGACCCCCGAAGAGGAGGTGAGGTCCGCCCCCCACTCATAAAAAATAGCACTTTACCCCTGCCTATATGCCGTGAGCTGATTATCGAGCCTTCATTGTAACAGTTGTGGGTGTACTGTGTGTGCGTGTGGGGAGTGTTGCAGTAGAAAATTCCACTGTAGCGCTGCGGCCGCCGCCACTGTGGGCTAAGCCCCGAATGTTTTCAGGTCCAGGCGACGCCCCTGGTTCCTAGTAATGTCGATGCTGCGTATGACAGACAGTCATTATATTACATTACATGACATGTTAGACGCTTTTATCCAAAGCGACTTACATACTCAATACTGTGGACAATCCCCACAGGAGCAATTTGGGGTGAACGACATGCTGACTGCAGTGGGGTTTGAACCTGTGACCCCCTGAACCGAACACCTACGGACAACCCACTACCCCACACGCCTCCGGTAATGATGAAGTCCGTCACCATGGTATCTTTGATAACAGTGTCAGTCCATCCCTCGTAGTCATCAGGGATGTGGGAGCTGTTACCATAGGGACAGTCAAAGCAGCGGGCTACATCATAACCGTAGTTACACGGCATCCTGAGCACCACCTGACACACAAAACAGCAACATGTGTGAACTTACATTTTATAAAATATTTGACTAAAAATCAACACTGACAAAACTGAATTGTGACTTTAATTAAATGTATTATGTCAATAATGTCTTCATAACTGTATCAGGTGAGTCGAAAGCAATACTTTTAAGTTGAAATACTAAATATTAGATTCAACGTTATAGTATTGCTTTCAACTTACCTAATACAGTTATGTGAAATGTATTGATATAATACATTTAATTAAAGTCAATATTTAAGTTTTTTAAATGTAGGAGTGACAGATTACCTCGTCTTTGAGGGCATACTGCAGCGCTGAGGGGAAGTGAGTTGTGTTTACTTTGCAGTAACAGTTGACGTTGGCTCCATACCTCAGCAACAGGTTGATCAACTCATAGTTGCCCACGCGCAACGAAACCGTAAAGACAAAACAATCAACCAACATTGGCATCACTGGTGGGACAACCTTTTGACGAACAACATTATATTAATCCCCAATACTGTGCATCGAATCCGGTTGTAGCTTTGGGTGCCAGATATGATCATTACAATGGCACCAAACCTGGCAACCTCACTGTGAATACAAGACTTACAAAAGTTTCAGTATGTAAAAAATCCATTAAAGCTGTTCTGTTAGTGTGCATATTAAACTATCTTGATATGATTCAGTGCTGCGAGAATGAGTCCTAAAATCAGGAAGAAATTAGTTAGCATTTTAGCACTTCTGGTTTCATCAAATTTCATGTTATTTTGGTTAGATGCCTGAAAAACGATCTCTAGGAAGCTTCGTAGATGTCTTTAAAAAGGGAGGTTGCTTGCAAGTTGCTAAATGCGACTTCGGAGGTTATTTAAACGTCATTATGTGGAACACGGAAAATCATTTACTCTCTATTTTACCTTCACAGGTAACGTTTCTTTTGTTAAAGTTGTAAACAAGCAACAATTAAATGATATGTTGGAATTTTAGTGGAGTAGACGTGAAGTGTAGTTTAATTATAGCCTCACATTAACGTTTAACTTCTGGCAATTGCATTTATACTTTAACAATCAATAAACAGGTTGATATGTTGAGATTTTCCTACTGGGCAAAAAAAAAAAAAGTCCTGCAGCTCTCAGATGATCAGACAGACAGACATACAGACAGACAGACAGACAGACACACACACACACACACACACACACACACACACACACACACACACACACACACACACACACACACAACCTGCAGACATTTGATTGGGTCTTGGTTGGCCATGGCGCCGGCCTCCAGCAGCAGTTTGGCTGACGGCACGTCATTATTCAAGACCGTGAAGAAAAGTGCCGACTTCCTCCCGTCGTCATAGCTACGCTGAGCCCAGGGATGGAGCATGTCGTTGGGGTCAAACCCCGCATCCAGCAAGGCCTGATGGGAGTTTGCGAAGAACAGCAATACAGGTGTATGTAAAACACTACAGTTTACTAGTAAGCCATTTTATTTAAGTCATATTTCAACACCATGCCCATGAGAACACACACACACACACACACACACACACACACACACACACACACACACACACACACACACACACACACACACACACACACACACACACACACACACACACACACACACACACACACACACACACACACACACACACACACACACACACACACACACACACACACACACACAAACCTTGATGCAGTGTGCATGTCCTCCTGCAGCAGCAGAGTGTAAAGGATTTAGCCCGCTGTCGTCGACTTCCCCCTTAGAAGTGACTGGAATCAGCAGATTTAAAACCCTGACACACAAACAATTTCAATCAGGAGAGACGTGATGTATGAAATACATGTTTATTACCGGGACACATGATATGAGAGAATGGTGATTGACAGATTACAACAAATGAATGAACTGATGTTTGGCGATTAGGCCCCGGTTTGCAGGATGATCATTCGGGAGGGGAAAACCGCTCCGATGAACCCCCCGGGGTCTAGACACTGGTGGTGGTGATAAGTAGTTCGGTCCGGTTCTGAAGGGAGAAGGTTTTAGCTTGGCCCTGTATTAGGAGACGGAGGCGAAGGGGTGGAGGAGGGTTGTGCGTTGACACCTGAAATGACAACTGACAGAGAGAGAAGAGCAGATTTAAAGGGGTTAGCGGGTGCGATGATTGGCTAGCTGGGGAGTAACGTCCCTGATCACTTATTGGGAGAGGAGAGGGTATTGAAATGACGTGTAACACCAGGGGGTATTGGTCTTCCTAATTGAACTTGCGCTAAGCTTCATTTAATTGATCTGATGTTAGAGGTTTTACATACTTGCAGAAAAACCGGACAACATGTCCTCTTGTAATATGATGGAGTAACATTTACTGCAGGTGTCCTCTGTGTGCGGTACGGTGGATCGGCATGTGTCCCATGTTTTCGGCCACGTTGGCGTCAGCGCCGTACTCCAGCAGCAGACTGATGACTGCCGGGTCTCCAGAAGCAGACGCCTCATACAGGATGGAGGCCTCGTCCTGCGCCTGGGACAGGACATCCGCCCCTGCAGGACAGAAATCAAAAGGGAATTAAGCACAAAAAATGAAAGATAATTTGTAAAATACCTACTTCATCTATGTCCACCTCAAAATCAAATCAACTGCATTTACACATACAATACAATATACGATATTGTATTGTATGTGTATTGTATTGTAATATAAGATACGATACAATACTGTATCGAAGAAGAAGTCTCTATATGAAAACTAAATATGATTTCAAATAGCATTAGAATATTAAATATATATAATTAATACAATTACACAACATTTGTGTCATACTGATATTTTACATTTCGGATTTCAGGACTGTTTAATTTGTTATGTTGGTGCTTTGTTGTGTTTTCTTTGACTTTTATCCTTTAAACATGTGGGAAATAAGTGTTTAGTGTAGCATGTTATACTTTGGACACTTATGTTTCTTTTCCTGATAATCCATAAATAAAATCAATGAATAAATCAATCAATCAAAATTGCTCAAACTCTAATCTGGATATTGGAAGTTTGGATATGAATATAGAGTGATGCTGCTCCCTCACCTCTCCTCAGCAGATTCTCCATCACCTCCAGGTGTGCGTTCTGAGCGGCCAGAGCCAGTGGAGTGAGCCCGTAGTGGCTGCGGGGGTCCGGCCGCGCCCCCGCCTCCAGGAGCAGGGTCACCAGCTCCACGTTACCCAGCCGAGAGGCCTCGTGGAGCGGGCAGCGGCCGTGCAGACCCTCCTTGTCCACGCTGGAGCCCTGAAGGAGCAGCAGCTGCACCAGGTCAGCACGGCCCGAGCGGATCGCTGCACAAAGACACGGCTGATTTATGTGTGTTTTATTTTTTCAATGAGCTTAAATAACGTGTTTTGTATCCTCCTTATGAAAGTAATTAAGTACATTTACAACAATACTGTACAATTGCACACATTTCAGGTACTGTTAGCTTTATTTCAGTATTTTGTCTTCATGCTACTTTCTACTCCACTACAATTCAAAGTCAAAGTCAGCTTTATTGTCAAAATGACTACATGTGTTATACATCCAGAAATCTCGAGATACCGTTTCCCGCAGTCCCACAGTGTGACATATATGCATAAAACAAACCAAAAAGGGCCTAGATAAACGGGGTATACAATTTAAAATGTTAATAATATATTTAAAATGTTCAAAGTACAGTTTCAGTGCAGTAGCAGCGGAGATGGGCAGAAAAGTGACTGGTGTTGGATGAGGGAAGGTTGTGTGTGTGTGTGTGTGTGTGTGTGGGTGTGGGTGTGTGTGTGTGTGTGTGTGTGTGTGTGGTGTCTAGCATTACTATACTTGTGGGGACCTAAATCTGTTTACATAGTCACGTGTGGGGACTGGCTTCCCTTATGGGGACAAATTGGAGGTCCCCATGAGGGGAATCATTCATTTTAGGGTGAAGACTTGGTTAGGTTTAGGATTAGGGTTAGGTTTAGGGTAAGGTTAAGGGTAAGGGTTAGGGTTAGGCATGTGTTGGTTATGGTTAAGGTTAGGATACGTCTCCAGGAAATGCATGTAAGTCAATGTAATGTCCCCTGAAGTGATGTATACATGGTATGTGTGTGTGTGTGTGTGTGTGTGTGTGTGTGTGTGTGTGTGTTTGTGTGTGTGTGTGTGTGTGTGTTTGTGTGTGTGTTTGTGTGTGTGTGGGGGTTAAAGTCCAGGACCATTTGGGGCAGGGGGGAAAGGTGGGAGGCAGGGTGGAGAGTTCAGGGGAGAGATGTCAGAGAGGGGGAGAGAGGGAGGGAGGGAAAAGATTTCAGCATCCTGACCGCCTGGTAGAGGAAGCTGTTCCTCAGCCTGGTGGAGCTCGAGCGGAGGCTGCGTAACCTTCTCTCTGAAGGCAGCAGGCTGAAGAGGCTGTTGGAGGGGTGGGTGGAGTCACCCGCAATGCTGAGTGTTATATATGTCCTGTGATGGGAGCGAGGCAGCGAGGATCCTCTGGGCAGAGTTCACTATGCGCTGCAGGCTCTTGCGGTTGGAGGCGGTGCAGCTTCCAAACCACAGCGTGATACAGCTGCTGAGGATGCTCTCAGTGGCGCCTCGGTAAAAAGACAGCATGATGGGGGGTGATGCTCCGGCTCGCTTGAGCTTCCGGATGAAGTACAGGCGATGCTGGGCTTTCCAATTTTAATTTTCAATTAAGATGAAAGTATCTAACTTTTTTTATTTACATTATATTTATTGGACAGTAATAGTTACTTCATGAGGTTTAGTGACATGAAACAAAAACAAATAATTATTCAACCATTTTGACTGATAAATAATTGAGAACTATTTGGATCTATTCAGTCTATTTTCATTCCAGTTTCTCTTTGAATTATTTTAACTTTTTATTTATGATTTTAAGTTAACGAATCACTAGCAATTATTTATTTCATTATATTTAAACTCTGTGGATTTTGGATATTTACAATATTTGGCTACACAGTTGGCGAATGTGAAGTTTCTTTCAATTTAAAATTAACAAAAGTATTGAGAAATACTGTAGCATATACACATCATTTAAAACAAAAAACATTTCGTTCAAATGTTAAAGATGTGTTTCTGTTGCACAATTTGAATTATCTTTATATCTTAATATGATTATTGTTGGAGGAGCCTGGGATTTTACATTTTCATTGTGTAGAAGTTCTAACAGTAAAGCCTTTGAATGTTTAAGAGTTTTTGCGGTCAGCCTACCTACGAGCAGCGGGGAGTCCAGGTCACAGTCCTGAATGTCCGGCTTGGCTCCGTGCTGGAGGAGGAAGGAGGCGTTTTCTATCAGGCCTCCCTCTGCTGCCAGGAGCAGAGGAGTCTGTCCCCGCAGAGAGCGACTGTCCACAGAGCCTGAAACTGCAGGACAGGGTGCTCCGATTAACCTTTGTTTCATTATCAGGGTTTTCTGTTATTGTGAACCAAATATAAAAACCTTTGAATGTGAGCTCCAGGATGTTTTGGTTCCTCTGAGCGGCAGCTTCGTGGAGAGGAGTCCATCCTCGGCTGTCTGTCTGTGAAAACCTGTCTCTCTGCCGGACACTGAGACCCTTCAAGAGCTTCTCGTTACCTGAAGGTATAGTGATAGGAAATAGATAGTCGTCTGTCCCTTTTTCATATATGGGCTTTAAACTGTGGGGGAAACTTCTGAAGCAATTGATTAACAACTCAGAACATATCAAGGCTGCTTTTTATGAGATTCTGCAACAAACAACACAGTTAATTAAATCTACATTTATGATATTATTGTTAAATACTGCTGATTGACATTCATTGTTGCAATATATACTATATTTGGACATAGAGGCTGCAGTGTGCAAGCTATGTATTCACTTGTTATTGTCTGCTCACCTTTAGACCAACACCTGCCATTAGTACATGGAATAACAATTCCTATTGTTCACTCTTATTCAAGCCTCACCTTGTCTTATAGCAGTGAGGATCAGGCTCAGGATCGCACTCAGGCTCAGAGCTGCAAAAAGAAAATCGCTGACAAATTTCAATAATCAAAGTTTTGTGAAACTGTACAGGAAAAGTCTTCTGATCTGATTTTACTGAAAAAATAGGTTCAAATAAGTCAGGGACACTCAGTTTAAAGTATCAAATCTGATGAGCCCCAAGGCTGCAAGTCAAAAACAAAAATGAATGCATCAATACAAATAATACTGTTGTTAAATTAATAAAATGTGATCAAAACTAATGCTTTTCTATACGAATGCCTTCCAGTAGGACTTGAAAGGGGCCTATTGTGTTTTCGGGGGGTTCTCCCTCTCCTGTAGTGTTCTATAGGTTTGTGTGCATGTAAATGGTCTGCAAAGGCTAAAACCCCTGTGTTCCCCCCAGAGGGAGTTTCTCTCCCACACACTCCCCCCTGCCTGAAACTTACCAGGTAACACTTGCGCTTCTAGCGCTCCAACACATTGTACATGATAGGCTAAGGGGCGGGACATATAGCGTTTGACCAATCTCAACAGAGTCAGACAGCTAACCAATCAGAGCAGACTGGGCTCTGGTTTCAGACAGAGGGTGAAAAGAGGTGCTGCAGCACAGGCAATATGCGACAAATAAAGAGCTTTTTGAACATTAAAGCATGGAGACATGTCCCAGTAGAGACTCTACATACAAATATGAACTTGAAGATGAGCATAAGGGCATCTTTAAGGAATTCTTAAATACCTCAATTTAAATTTTTTCCCATGTTTCATGTTTGATAAAAACAACTACTTTTCCTAGCTCCGGCCTCTTTTCTTTTACACCTTTAAATACATTTGATTGAGTGAAAACCGTATATTTACTCACACTAGTTGATACAGTATATAGTGTTGGAGGGCTGGACAGTAACAGAGGACTGAGCAGAATTTCTATCACGCAGGAGGAATTTCACAAAATAAAACCAAGCCTCAGAGAAACATTTGTGAGCTTTATTTGTTTTGAACTGACCTTTAGCTGTCTGCTGTTGTGGAACCTCGCTGTGTTTCCTTCTGTTTGTTGCTCTCCAGCAGACTTTGTTCAATCATGTACGGAGTCGCTGCATCTTCATCATCTTCATCATCCTCATAACTTACATACTCCATAACGACCACAAACAGGCTCCTTGCTCTTTTAAAAAAAGGAGCATCTTGTTAATATTTCACTGATCATACTTTGCCAATTGATTCTGATTCTGAGATTTAAGTGCCAGGTTGGATGAAAACTACTATTTAAATGTGTTATTTGAAAATGTTTAAACTAGTCCCTGGAAAGCCAAATCAGCGCACAACTTAAAAAGCATGTTAAATGTGGTGTGTTCAGGTATGCTTATGGTCTAAATGCGATATCCCTTGTTTAACTCCAACTGTGTAACTTTAATGGATGTTTTCCATCTTCAATGTTGTGAATGTACTGTATATTCTGCATACCTCATCTCAATGTTTATATTGTCCACTCTGTCTAGTGTACTTTTGGTATGTCTGTAATTATATAATGTAGCACTAACCGTACCAAATTCTAAGCAAACTGTAGTTGCAATTCACAAATACTGTACAGATTAGTAACCAGATGGAGTACTGGGATGTCTGTTTGTCTACATGAGTCCCTTAAGCACTGACCATAGCCTGTATATACTGTATATTTAAGACACTGAGGATCGTCTCTGGATGTCTTTACCTTTTGGTTTGCTGTTGGGTCGTTGTTTTGGTTCCCTCTAATCGTCTGTGGACTTCCAGCAGTTTTTTCAAAAATAATGTGATGTTGTTGAGGACGGAGGAGGAGTGAGTGAAATAAGAGCTGAGTGTCTGCACACGACCTGTTAATGAATCCAAGTTCAACACTGAGATTAAAGAATGGAGAGCTGCCTGCAAATACATGGTTCAAACACAGATGAATGCACTTGTATCAAAAGATATATACAGTGGGGCAAAAAAGTATTTAGTCAGCCACCAATTGTGCAAGTTCTCCCACTTAAAAAGATGAGAGGCCTGTAATTTTCATCCTAGGTACACTTCAACTATGAGAGACAGAATGGGGGGAAAGAATCCAGGAAATCACATTGTAGGATTTTTAATGAATTAATTGGTAAATTCCTCTGTAAAATAAGTATTTGATCACCTACAAACAAACAAGATGTCTGGCTCTCACAGACCTGTAACTTCTTCTTTAAGAGCCTCCTCTGTCCTCCACTCGTTAACTGTATTAATGGCACTTGTTTGAACTCGTTATCAGTATAAAAGACACCTGTCCACAACCTCAAACAGTCACACTCCAAACTCCACTATGGCCAAGACCAAAGAGCTGTCAAAGGACACCAGAAACAAAATTGTAGACCTGCACCAGGCTGGGAAGACTGAATCTGCAATAGGTAAGCAGCTTGGTGTGAAGAAATCAACTGTGGGAGTAATTATTAGAAAATGGAAGACATACAAGACCACTGATAATCTCCCTCGATCTGGGGCTCCACGCAAGATCTCACCCCGTGGGGTCAAAATGATCACAAGAACGGTGAGCAAAAATCCCAGAACCACACGGGGGGACCTAGTCAATGACCTGCAGAGAGCTGGGACCAAAGTAACAAAGGCTACCATCAGTAACACACTACGCCGCCAGGGACTCAAATCCTGCAGTGCCAGACGTGTCCCCCTGCTTAAGCCAGTACATGTCCAGGCCCGTCTGAAGTTTGCTAGAGAGCATTTAGATGATCCAGAAGAGGATTGGGAGAATGTCATATGGTCAGATGAAACCAAAATAGAACTTTTTGGTAAAAACTCAACTAGACGTATTTGGAGGAGAAAGAATGCGGAGTTGCATCCAAAGAACACCATACCTACTGTGAAACATGGGGGTGGAAACATCATGCTTTGGGGCTGTTTTTCTGCAAAGGGACCAGGACGACTGATCTGTGTAAAGAAAAGAATGAATGGGGCCATGTATCGTGAGATTTTGAGTGACAGCCTCCTTCCATCAGCAAGGGCATTGAAGATGAAACGTGGCTGGGTCTTTCAGCATGACAATGATCCCAAACACACCGCCCGGGCAACGAAGGAGTGGCTTCGTAAGAAGCATTTCAAGGTCCTGGAGTGGCCTAGCCAGTCTCCAGATCTCAACCCCATAGAAAATCTTTGGAGGGAGTTGAAAGTCCGTGTTGCCCAGCAACAGCCCCAAAACATCACTGCTCTAGAGGAGATCTGCATGGAGGAATGGGCCAAAATACCAGCAACAGTGTGTGAAAACCTTGTGAAGACTTACAGAAAACGTTTGACCTCTGTCATTGTCAACAAAGAGTATATAACAAAGTATTGAGATGAACTTTTGTTATTGACCAAATACTTATTTTCCACCATAATTTGCAAATCAATTCGTTAAAAATCAGACAATGTGATTTTCTGGATTATTTTTTCTCATTCTGTCTCTCATAGTTGAGGTATACCTAGGAAGAAAATTACAGGCCTCTCTCATCTTTTTAAGTGGGAGAACTTGCACAATTGGTGGCTGACTAAATACTTTTTTGCCCCACTGTATATAAAATATAACAATTATTCTGCAGGGAAATAAATAAATTCATTACCTTTAGATCTCTTTGTTTCAGCTAGCTGCAGCACTCTGCCTGAGGGGGTCAGAGAGATCTGATACCTCAGGCTCTTACTATATTTACCTCCTGCAGATAGTTTTGTGCAGTGAGCACACACTCAGCACACACTCAGTGACACGCTATGGCTGCCTTTAACTGTGCAGTGAATTCATCTTTCATATGCCTTTAAGAAAAACAGCACAGGCAAAAGGATTTTCATGCACTGGTCTTTTTTGTTATTTAGCTTCCATGACATGTCTTCTTGCAGACTTGAGGAAATACCTTCACCTATACATTTTAGTTCTTTCTCTTTCACTTAAATCCTAAAAACTTAGATCTTATATTTAAAACTTTATCCAAAACCTTTCCCCTCTCTGGCCTCTCGAGGTTCTAAGAGGGTAACAGGTTGCAGAGAGGCCTATCCCAGCCGGGGAGTGTGGAACGTAGCCACAGACCTACTCCTACCTCTCACCAATTCCAATTCAGGTTCCAGTGGGGACCTTTCTCCCTGCGTGTGCCTCTCCACCTCTGTTTCTTACTTGCTACTCTTTTCCCTCAACCTATCCTAAGGGAGTGCATGTACGTAGACACGTTAGTTTTGCTGTTATAGGCTCAGACTGTCGGGGGGACACCTTACTTCTTCCTTCCGTCTTTCTGTACTCTCATGTTCCGATTAACCCAGTTTCCCCCAAATCTCTTTTTTGTGTCTATATCTACGCCGGGATCCTGAGTCGAGGCTAATCCTGTTGCTGTGGTCGTGTGTCCTGGATCCTCTATCCTGAGCACTGGATCTGAGTCCTGGACTTCGAGTCGTGGCTGAACCTGTCTCTGCGGTCCTGCCTGACTCATCACACTACTTCCCTGATGGCTCCCACAGGATTGTTGACATCCTCGTGGATTCATCTTCTTACTATAGACACATGCATTTCCTAACATTCGGTCTATATGCTGTAAAATGTATTATCTTTTCAATTTACACACGGCATCTATTGCACGTCTGTCCGTCCTGGGAGAGGGATCCCTCCTCTGTTGCTCTCCCTGAGGTTTCTCCCATGTTTCCCTTTAAACTGTGGGTTTTCTCTGGAAGTTTTTCCTTGTACGATGTGAGGGTCTAAGGACAGAGGGTGTCGTATTGTCATACTGATATTCTGTACAAACTGTGAAGACCACTGAGACAAATGTAACATTTGTGATATTGGGCTATATAAATAAACATTGATTGATTGATGAAATAAAGCCTTCAAAAAACATTAGGCAATTAATTATTTGATAATGTCTCATTTAGATATTCAAACATGACATTTGAGAAATGTGTAATGCTTAATATAATGTATTGTCTAAATGCAAATACTAACAGGGGATGTTTCATGGTGATATCAGAACAAAAAGATGACAATTCCACTGCAGTGTCCTATTAACAGAACACATCAGTAGGGCTGCAAATACAGACTGACACAAGTCATCTGCCAACCACCTTTCAGATGATTGGATTCGCCGTTAAAATGCCCCAACTTTTAGGAAAAATCTATTCTATACTGCCTTTGTGGTCATTATCAAATGTATTCTCTTCGCTAAAGGTTGGACCAAATAAAATGTTGTTTGAAAACATACAAATTCATTGCAGATGATACATGTGTAGCAAATGTAAGTGTATTAAATGTTTCAAACTACATTTTTGCACAGAGCTCCTACAAAGAAAGACGTGGTGTCAGTGGTTTGACCAGCAGCCCTTCTCCCACACTCCTATTTGTATTAGTGTATAAATGCTTGGAAGAAAACTGCATCTTTTCAATCCATACAAAAACAGATCCTCTTTCAGGAGGCCATTATTTTCCCCCAACATGTATTGAACATTCAATACTTTATACCAGAAGTCTAATGCAATTTTAAAAACATTTGTGTACGAGCAAAACCCACAAAAAAAAAAGTTCTTCGACATTGTACTAATGTTTAGTAGGAACGGCAGTAAAATGGAGACTGTTTTGTTTAGTGTACAGTAAGCTATTTTAATGCAAATATAAAATGTACATATTCAATGTTATTAAATTCACCTTTGCTTTCCTACTGTAACATGTTGAAATGACTGCAATGCAAAGGGTCCGTTTTGCAAAAATGTTAGGTTCAGGTTCAAACCCCACTGCAGTCAGCATGTCGTTGTGTCCCTGAGACCCTGCACCCCAAAGTGCACCTGTGGGGATTGCCCACAGTACTGAGTATGTAAGTCACTTTGGATAAAAGCATCCAACATGTAATGAAGACAAATGTCTGCATGACATTAAAACTAATTTAACCACTAATGCCTATAAATCAGATTATCTTTTAATAATTGCTTTCTCAAAACGCAACAACCCATTTGGGCCGTTTCAGTTCAATCTGTGAGCATTTGGAATAATTGTCATGCATGTGACATATCATTAACCAGTTAATGCCCGAGCCTGTTTTCCAGGCCTCAGGCTCGAAAATGACATTCCCAGAACAAATGACTATTTCTTCACTTCTAAAAGGCGTAAGTTAATAATCTTTTTTCTCAAAGCAATGATAAACCTGTGAGTTGGCTGTAGAAAAGTCAGAATCAATATAGAATTTTTTATTTTTAAAGTAAATTCAGATTGAACATAGTGAAAAAAAACATTACTTATAGTGAGAACCACCCTTGAATGATGGGATAATACTAAAAGCTTTAGGGATCCAAACTATAACATATAACAAGTACAATAAGTACCCTGTATCAAGATTGATGCAAAACAAGTGAAATTTGAGCTTTTTAAGAGAGGTTTAGAAAGAAGAAGAAAAACACCTTTGGGGTCATTTGGGTATATTTGCCGTTTCTCTGCAAATTGGTCGATTTTGATGATTGACACCTCTTTTGAACCGTTAGAGCCAATAGAATTGAAGGGGAAGTTCCACATACACACGCGTTACCTTTGAGGAGTGAGAGCTATGCCCACGCAGTCGAAAGCTATGTTACGCTCTGAAAACTGAAACCTAGGCTCAAACTAGTAAATATGAAAATGGATCATCAGTAATCGTTTCAAAGCGACAGACACATTGGATTAACCTTCAGCAGCGTTTTTATCGTGTTGATGCCATTGAATACTACTTTTGATAAGAACAACAGCTAAGGTAAGAATGTGTTTGTTTCCCTGTGGAATCTCAGCTTGCTAATCGATATCTTGTTTGTGCAGATACGATAAGTAATAAGGATATTTTAATGTGAGTTCTTTTCG